GCACTAAGAAGTTGAAGAGCTTGGAGAAATTAGGAGCTCAAACAGACACATGTAAGCACCTACTCCACAAATACCTTTGGCAAAACATGTGGGGATGAGGTTGTTTTAAAAATGCAGCACTAAAGGGTGGGGTGGAGAGCACAGAGGGAAGCTGATGTTTTAAAAAAGGCATCTTCCTGCAACTATTCGGATGGCTCAATATTACTCAGAGAAGTCTGATTCTTAGTCACAGAGGTGGATCAGATAGATATCTGAAGTTAAAGCCTAAACCCAGGCCATGGCAATTGGGCAGTCACAGATTGGAAGGGTAGGGTGCCTGGGAGTGACAAATGGCAGTACTAACCTTGTGTACCTGGAAGGGGTACTAGCCTAACGGCTAAGACAGCAGTTTGAGAATCAGAGACTATGACATTTGCTATCGGTGTGACCTCGAACAAAGTCTTTCTAACACTCGGAATCTGTTTTCTGATCTGAAAGATGGAGATAGCAGCAACTATTTCATAATGTTGCTGAGAAGATTAAATGGGAGGGTGCATGTGGAGTATAAAGCATAGTACCTAGTGCATAGTAAGTCCTCCAAGAACACAGGCTTCCATCTGCTCAGCAAATGTTTATTGGTCACCTACGATGTCTCATTTTTACAAGTATCCTAATGCTACAACTTCACAGTTTTTCAGAAAGGCAAGTTGTTACATAGTTTATAGCAGGAGGTCCTGGCCACCGGCTGATCTTTGTTGATTTTTGCCTTTTGTTTGGAAGGATGCCTTTTGTTTGTTTTGATTGGTGACACAACTCACTTAGAAACCTGGTATTGTCCTGCCTGTTGTCTTCATTTGTGGCGAGAGAGGGTGAGAGAAACACACACACACACTAGGTTCTTGCGTCTGCGAGTGGGGCCTGAATCTCTCTACCTCAGGCACAGGAAGGTGCCGCTCCTTGCTACTTTTCTCCAGGTCTCAGGATCCAATCCCTAATATTTCCATTGTGGAATATGCTTGACACTTATTTCACATCATTTGCTCTATCTTTTCATTAACTAACGATCATATCAAAAACACTGTCTTTTGAAAAAATGTATTGCAGAGGGATTACTTGGGAAAGATGTGCTTGGTAGGGGCCACCTGTGCCCCCCTGTCCTCCGTCGCTATTCAAATGATCCTCAAACCCACCCTCTGGCTCAGCTGGGTGGTCCAACATGCAGGCAGGCGACCAGCGGTCCAACATGCAGGCAGGCGACCAGCGGTCCAACATGCAGGCAGGCGCCTGGCTGCCTGGAGGCAGCCCTTCTCGTCCTCCTGTCACATAATTCAAGCCGGTCTTTCTGATGCCAGAGGAAATGCCTACAAGGCCTCAAAAAGTCTTAGAGATTTTTTAATAGGGGTTATTAGCCTCTATTCCTTTGGAACAAGAAAGGGTAGAGCTGATTTTGATCATGAAGTTTTCGATCCTCTCACTGCCCTCACACCTCTTCCAATGCCTCAGTAGGAGACACCTTCTCACCTTCCACCGTCTTTGCCAACTCCTGGTACTCTCATCAGGCGATGAGAAGTGTTGCACAGGTGAGTGGAAGAAGAGACTGAACGCAGTGAGGAAACACTAGCACCTACAGGTCAGACTGAGATCAGAGGTGAACATGGCCCTTGTTCCTCCCTTCTGTCCTGAATGCTAACTGTGTTTTCCTTGACCACAATGACCCTTTGCCACTTTGGTGCCTCTACAGTGGTGTTCTCTGCTTGCAAAGCTCTTCTCAGGCTTCAGGAATTGTCTTCAATGTCATCTCCTTCTTTAGTTGACTTAAATGTTACCCCCTCAGAGAAGCCTTCTCTGACTACCGCATGTCGGTTTACTCTGCAGGACTTATCACAGTTGATGATCATATAAGTTTATCTCTCCTGCTAACCAGTAAGCTCTGACTTTGCTTCCGGTTGCCTGCCCAGTGCTCAGCCAGGCACCAGGTGCCTAAGAAGGGCTTGGTAAAGATGTCTTGAAGGAAGGAGTGAGTGTGTAAACTGTTGCCTCAATGGCTCGGAAGTTAACATTCACCCTGGGTGAAATGGAGCTCCTTAAAAGTCAGCCCCATAGCCAGGCCCTCCAAGTCACATGGCTCAGGTTCTGACTGGACCAACCAAAGATGCACCTCTACAAGACGGCAGAGCATCTGGAACACTGGCTCCACCTACCAGCCAGGGCACTCCTGCCAAGGCCCAGAGAGCACATTGATGGGGGAGACAAAGGGGCTGGAGTGGATCTAAGGCTAAGCCTGTCTGATAAGCCTGAGGGAGTTGGGCAGGTCATAAGTGCAATGGAGAAGCCAGAAGCACTCAACTTAATGAGCCCCCACAGCTGTTTTTAATGGGGACCTGATCATTTGAGGGCAGTTGGGGGAGAGGAGGAATATGGTCTCATATGCCTAATTAAAAGTTACAAAAAAGAGAATAACACATGGCAAGAGCCTGCTGAAACCATGGAAAGGGGCCTTGGTGAGAAGGCAGGGCTAACTTTTCTATTTAAAACAGTATCAATTGGTTGCCTGGAGCCAAAATTTAACAGTCAAACAGGACAATGGATGACAGCTTCAAAGTACAAACTCAGGACATTTGAGCATCAGATCAAGTTCAGAAATCAGGGCAACTTCAAGGCTTAATTTTCAAAGCATGTGGACCTTTAAATGACATTTGAATTGGGGTTTATCCCAACAGTAGCTAAAAAGAATATCGTTAGTAGTGAGCAAGAGGTCACAGCCCGTGCTCACTATGCCCAGGGGAAATTGTCACTTGCCCAAAGTGTATACACCATTGCTGTCTGAGGTTTCAAATCCAGCAACCTGAAACCACAACATCCTGGAAGAAAACATCTTCAGAGTTTTTTTTTTTTAAACTTATAACCAACGTTCATTGAATGCTTATCATTTCCAGGAGCCATACCATGCATTGTTCGTATCTTATCTCTTCATTCTTCACCATTACTCTGTGGGGTGGATATTCCTATTCCCATTGTATAGTTGAGAAAACTGAGGCATGGAAAGATTTGGAAACTTGCCCAAGGTCACTTATTTTATTACTGTCAGACTCACAACTCGAAGCTAGTCAGTGTAAATAGTTTTGCCTTTAACCACCATGTTAGACCATCTGTGAAAGCAGTCAGTGAATAATGAACATATATTAGATACTTCCAACTCTAAGTGGAAATCCATTTCTACTTGTTTTTATATGAGGATGCACTGAGGCAGTGTGGGTTCTGGGAAGATTACTGTCTCCGGCTTTAGTTATAAAATTGTTTAACCAACTATCCAACTATCTATCCAATCAATCAACCAACTACCTAACCAACCAACCAATGAGCCAACCAACCATCCAAGCTACTGCCCTAGCCATCAGCCACTCATCCAACCATCTGTACAATCAGCCAACTAACCAACTAACCATCCTCACTCCTCTTACTGTAAAATTGGAATTCATAATTATACCCACTGTGCAAGTGAAGAGCTTAACATAGGGCCTCAAGACACTGATCAATCACTATTACTATTGAGTTGTGTTGTTCTTGAGCTGAGCATTCCAGTAAGACAATAAATGTCTCAAAGACATGGGAGAGGCTTGAGGCCCGCTTGACTATCCTATGAAAATTATCCCTGAACTTGCTGAAAAGGGTGTGGACCATACAACTTCACAGGGTGTTCTTTCCTAAGGGGAAATTAGTTTTGATCTGATGATCACAAAAACTTGGGCTTCTGCAGAAAACTTTGCTGACTGGCCATTTTTTTTTTTTTTTTGATACTGTGACTCATACAACAACTACGATTTTCTAACCAGCAGCCAGATCTTCTGGGACCTAGCATTTTGTTTTAACTTCATCCTGGACTTCCTTTTATATTTCCTTACTTGTTTTTCCTTTGTCCACTTTTTTGAAATCTACTTCCTAATCTACGTTTTCTGGGTTGAAATTGTTTGGTTAGGATTTCTTAAGTCCTCGTGATAACCAGAAGGAATATAAATATGTGACTATTTATAAGGTCTGGTTTACATATCGACTGCTGTTTCGCTGATGCAGAGAGAGAAAGGCTACCTCAGGAGAAGTGAAAGTGAAAAGGCCACCATGCTTCTGCCTGCTCCATGGGGCAGAGGGTATGGGATGGTATGGTACAAAAACACAAGGCAGATGGAAGCACTTTGGGTAGTGGCACAGTTTCTTCTTCCATTGTGCATGTGTAGGATTTAAAATCCCTCCTCCCAAAAGACAGAGAGAGAAAGAAGAGAGGAGAGAAGAGGGGAGGGGAGAAGAAGGGAGGGGAGAAGAAGGAAGGGAAGAGAAAGGGAGGGGAGAGGAGAGGAGGGGAGTGAAGGGGAGGGGAGGGGAGGAGAGGGGTGTGGAGGAGAGGAGAGGAGAGGAGAAGAGAGGAGAGGAGAAGAGGAGACAGACAGAGAGACAGAGAGGACAGGAGAGGAGAAAGAAAGAGAGAAAAGAAAAGAGGAGAAAAGAGTTGTAGGAGAGAAGCAGTATGCTACAAAGAAAAATTCTGAGTTTCAAAGTTTTTAACTCCTAGATTTTTTGTTTGCTTATTACATGAAGTTAGCTGAGTCACTTAATTTCTCTGATCCTCAGTTTTTCTTATCTGTAAGATGGGTCAACAAGTCCTACCTATTTCACGGGTTGTTACAAGGATGGAAAGAGATTAAGGCATGTAGAAAAAGGTTTGAGAATTGTAATGTGAGCTTCAAACAGTAGGAGTTTGTATTATTTCCCACAAAATGTCAAAATTCCAGTAGTGCCGTCCATGAGACATTTAAAGCACATTTCCAGCTGTCATAAACTGCTGGGAGGTGGGGAATGACAACAAAAAAGAAACAAAGCAAATAAAGCAAATGATTATTTTTTTTTTAGATTGGCCCAGTGCAATGTGTCAACCTGGCCCTGTTTATAAGGGCATTCCCTCAGTCATAAAGCACCATCTGTCACCTTCTCTCCACAGGGGTAGAAACAGGACCAGGAGGCCATCTTACCTCATCATCGCAGCTGATGGAGCATTTGCCATCCAGGGAGGCACACTGTGAAGGCAAAAAGCAGAGGGAAATGTGTTACTATATTCCTTGGGCATCCCAGTGTCTGCTGTGGCTGCCACTGAGCTACTTAAGGACAAGCTATCCAAGTCATGGGCTAGAATTCAAATACCCAATTTCATTGAAAAGGAATGCTCCATGATGTGTCTTGTCTACCATCTCTGGAATCAATATCAATTCCAAAGAGTAACGTAAAATAAAAGATGGATGAAACAGTTGGTGGGGGGGCAGGCGCTCACACCTGTAATCCCTGCACTTTGGGAGGTTAAGGAGGGCGGATCACTTGAGGTCAGGGGTTTGAGACCAGCCTGGCCAACATGGTGAAACCCCGTCTCTCCTAAAACATACAAAAACTACCCTAGTGTGGTGGCAGGCACCTGTAATCCCAGCTACTCAGGAGGCTGAGGCAGGAGAATCACTTGAACCAGGGAGGTGGAGGGTGCAGTGAGCTGAGATCGTACCAGTGTACTCCAGCCTGGGCAACAGAGCAAGACTGTCTCAAAAAAAAAAAAAAAAAAAAATTGAGGGGGGAGTTGGCTCTTTTTTATCTACTTTATGTTGTCATTAAATAGTAATGACATCTTTTTAAGATCTCAAATCTTTTGGTAACTACAAATATAATTATATAATTATTTAATTTAAAATTCATTAATTCTCAATGACTTAAAAAAACCCCTGTCTGTCTGCTTAGTTTATAGTTTCCTAAAGTATTTTAATTTAAGGGATGATAAACGATTCTAACATTTATTCTTGGGCAGATGGAAGCAACTTATCAGTGGCCCTTTCTACCAAATTACAACAAATACCACCGAGATGACTTAGCACAGAGAGCACAGCAAAAAGAAAAAAATGTTCCCAGGTTCTCCAAGGTTGACCCTGTGAACAAAGAAGTCAGATATATGTTTTGGAGAAACTAGTTATGTAAAGGGTTTCACAATTTTGATAATGAGATTCACAAGTAAACAGGCATGACTATGCGATTAGGGGAAAGTCAGTATGAAAATCACACAAAAGGCCCCAATACTTAAAAGAAAAACTCCTTTGGAAGGTCACTATCTTGATCCCACAATTAAAACTGTTCCTAGGAGCAAATTCCCTGCTCTGCTCAGCATGTGGTGTCTAACATGCTGACAGCCCTTTACTTTGCAGTGAAATGAAAGGTAATCTGAGCAGCCGACAGTTCATTTTACAAACATTCATCGGAAATCTGGCACTTTTAGGCTCCAGGTACCCAAATGTGAACACCTGTATAATAACAGGGTCGCTAATGCTTCAAGATGCCGATTATAACTTACCTGTCTGCTGGCAGTCCAGAACTTCCTTTGGAAAAATTCAAGTTTCATCTGAATGCCTACAGCTGGGACAAGTTATAAATAAAACAAGGCATTAGTGATCCCTTTACACAATTATTTAAGATTATCGTTGAAAATTATCCATCATGGCAAGAAGCTGATAAAAGCATATAAAATCAAATGTACAGTGAAGCATACAACTAAAACATTTTATCTCTCAGGTAAAGAATTCTCAAGTTTACCTGCACTCATAGAACTCTCGACACAAAACAAACAGCACAGTGTAGATGGCTCTATGGAGACATGTTACTTTGGCGTTTCTAAAATTCATATACTTGCACCCCTGCCCCATCCCCACCCCAACACAAACTGAGAAGAGGAAAGAAAAAAAATTCAAAAGATCACTATTGCGTCAGTTCCTGTATCAGCTATTACTGTTTGAACTTGCATGTCTAAAATGTGTACTCTGCATGTATTTTTGAGACGTAACATTTGAAAAGCACTTGTCATGAGGCTGGTATTCAGAAGTGAGTCACTTTACTATAACGTGACTTACTTTAACTGGCCTCCTAGAGTCCACGTCTCAAGGTTCTTCTCTCCCATGGAACTCTGGTAAAATTATGTAATTTTTTTTTGTCTGTGAAAAGCTTCCTAAAGCAACCCCGAATGCTAGTTCTAGTGACAGAAACAGCCAAAAAGAGAAGAGGTGAAGAATGTGACTTGGAACTTAGGGAAGTGAAGTTTAGTGGAACCTCAAAACTATAACATGAGGAAGTTCATCTTATTTTTCTTCATGAAGCCCAAACCACTTGAAAGACTTTAAACCATCTCAGGAGGTAAAATGGTAAAAGGGCAAAATGCTCCTCAGATGGTGGGAAAACTTGAGAGGCGTTCGGCAGAATGAGACTACAGGAAACACTGAATTCCCTGGAGCACGTCATTTACCCCAGCGCAGTTTTGCAAACTTTAGTCCGCTGCACACAACCTCCCAATTTTTGCCATATCTGCATACTACCAATACTCTTATCTATTCTTCCACATTTCTTCCTTTTGCTTAAAGATCTACAGTAATTCAACCTAAATAACACTGGAACACCCATCAAAAGAAATACACAATTGTAAGGAAAAAAATCACTTAAATACTCTTAAAATTTTGCGTGCCACTCTATTGGACCTCCCATTTGGGTAATCATTGTTGTGCTGGCTTCAGGAACTTGGAGATTCATAAAGGTCTTGGGCTGTTGTTACCCTGATAACTATCAAGGGCATTTCTACTTCCTAAAGAAATTGTTGAAGCAAGCCCTGAGAGTAAAGGTTAACTGGGTGTGTACCTTGGGAAAGATTTGCCATCTGTGTTTGGACTTGGAATTTCAGACTCTAGGATAAAGACTAGAGCAGTGATGGCTGCAACGTGCAGAATGTGAAAAGCCTCTGAAATGCACCATGTCGGTGCCCCAGGATCATTCTGCTCTGCCGTTAGTGTCCTTCATTCTCTGGATCACAACTTCCCCGAGAATGAGGACCTGTTCTTGCTCCCTGCTGGACCCCTGCCCCCAGCAAGATGCTGACTACACAGATGACCCATTAGTATATGCTTGCTTTTTAAAAAAACTTTCAAGTGGTATTATAGTCAGCAGTTAGAGAGAAATATAGAAGAGTAACAGCTGTGTGAATTGTTTGTTTGTTTGTTTGAGACAGAGTCTCACTCTGTTGTCCAGGCTAGAGTGCAGTGATGTGATCTCAGCTCACTGCTGAGAAAATTTTTCTCCGTTTTCATGGAGAAAAATAAGATGAACCTCTGCTTCCTGGATTCAAGTGATTCTCATGACTCAGCCTCCCGAGTAGCTGGGATTACAGGTGTGCACCACCACACCTGGCTAATTTTTGTATTTTTTGTAGAGATGAAGTTTCACCATGTTGGCCAGGCTGATCTCTAACTCCTGGGCTCAAGTGACCTGCCTGCCTCAAACTCCCAAAGTGCTGGGATTACAGGTGTGAGCCATGTGGCTAGCTTGGGTACGTTTTATAAGTGTCCCAGATGATTCTCACGCACAGCCAAGGTGGAGGATGGCTTTAGTAAATCAGCTGTTGGGGATCTACTGTGATGTAGGCCGCTTGGCCAGACTACACAACACAAGCTGTTCTTCCCGGCATTGGAGGACGTTTCAGAGAATGCCTGAAGGAAGCTGATCTTCAGTCTGATGGCGGTTGACTGCATTTCAAATAAATCTCATCTTCCAAATGCCTGACAGGCCAGGGTGCAGGATGCGAAACAGGGTCCGGGCTGCATTCTGATCAGATGCACTGGCAGGCGGGGGTGAGTGCTGGGCTTGGAACAAGTATCTCCGGTTTCACCAAAAACAGGCAGGGGCTGGCTGAAAACTGACTTCAGAGGAGAGGCCTCGAAATTGTTGTGACAACCAATAACTGGTATCTAAGAGGAGGGTGGGAAATGAGTTCATGTGTCCTCCTCTGTGTGCTTCTTTACAGCTCCCCTCCCACAGTGCTCCCCGGCCAGCCCCCGCCAGGCTGTCAGGCAGAGAGTAAGGCTAAGGCCACGTCTCTCTGACGTGAGCCAAGGGCAAGCTGCAAGGCCTTACAGGGTAGAGCAACAGGACTGCATGGAAGAGTCACTCCAGGGTAGCCTTTCTATGGTGCTTCTCCCTCCAACAGCCCAGAGCTGTCCCGGGCCCACCTGTCATCTCTTGAGCTTCCATGAGTCTCCCAATGCCCTTTCAGAGACCCCCACCCCCGTTCTCTGGTTGAGCCCTCATCTTCACTTCCCTGATGAAGCCAGCTGCTCCCCTCTGGGTGTTTATCCATCTCACATACTTGCAGCCTGCTCTCATCTGCCCCTGTCGGTCCTCTACCCCAGCTCCTTGGGGCGCTTCCATCTTTCCTCATGAGTCAGTCCCTCCATCCCATTAATCATGCAGGCTGCTTCTCTCTGATCCCTCTCCAGCGGGCTGCATCCTCGTCCTGGTCCTGATGCCCTGAACTAGACACTGCTTCCCTCCCTCCTCACTCACACCCCTTCCTGTGCCATGAAGTTGTTGCCCAAGGGCTCCTGGGTAGTCCCGGGTGCAACTGTTCTGCTAGTTTTGACCTAGCTGTGCTCCTGCTGGCTGACCTCATCCTCTTTCCAGTAACACTGGCCCCTGGCTTCCTGTGGCATATCTGGGGTTTGCAGTGTTTTCTTTTACCCATAAGTTAACATACTCTCCTATGATTAAGAGACTCACAATTTCATTGATGGATCAACTTCACGACCATTTGTTCAGTGGGTACTAAGCTCTACACTGGGTACTAAGCTCCCTCCACGTCCAGTTGAGGAGTAGATCTATTGTAAAAGCTACACTAGAGGCATAAAGAACTGGAGCATGCAAAGAATGGGGCTGACTTGGCCTGGGGGCACTGGTGAGAGCTTTGTGTAAGGTGAGGCATGGAGAGCCCACTCACAGAACAGTGGGAAGATGGCAATCCAAATGGAGGAAACAGGAAGGGAGGGAAAGGGAGAGAACCTTTTTAAAGACCATCATTTGTTTGGAGGCTTGAGAAGAATGGGAACGGGGACCCAGTTGCTCAGGCTGAGGTCAAATGGCAAAAGGTCTTGAATGTCAGGCCAAAGCTTCAAGAGTATCTTGTAGGCCAGAGATTGGTCCAATGGGCAAATCCAGCCCCTCTTTGTAAATAAAGTTTTCTTGCAGCACAGTCACACTAATTGGTTTGCATACTGTCTATGACTCCAATGGCAGAGCTGAGTAGTTTTAACTGAGACTGCATGGCCCACAAAACCTCAGTTATTTACTATTGGTCCTTTACAGAAAAAGTATTCTGACATCTGCTGTTGGTGCCATTGAAGGTCTTTAGTATCAAAGTGGCAGGACCAGGTTTATATTTTTAGAAAGTCCACTCTGAAAGCTTGCAGAGGAAGTGCTAGGGAAAGGGTCTGTAAAATGGGAAACGGGAGAATGAGTGTAAGGGATCGAGAGTAATGGGATTGAGCTAATTATTTCTTAAGTGTGAAAATGATTTAAAGTGCAAAAAACAAGGCAACAAAAAAATAAGAATACCCCTCTCCCCCAACAAACAAGCAAATCAACAAAAATACTTAAGGGAATCCTATGGCCAGCTGTATTTAGAAAAACAAGTATCACCTGCCACAAACAGAAGTGTAGCTTTCTTTCACTATTTTCCTTTGTTTTGGTCCACATTTTTCTTTTTTGACCTTTATCAGAGAAAACACGACTACTTCAGTGAATCCCACTCTCTGCCTTCAGCTCCCACATAACCTAAATGGAACCTGAGACATTTGTCAAGCCCATCTATTTTGTTCTTTCAGCAACATTTCAAGCCGTAACAGTATATTGATTTAAGTCATCCTTGCTAATTTAATAAGGAAAACAAAGACAGCAAATGCTTTTGTGAAACTCAAGTCCCAAGGAGAGTTACAGAAAATAAAATCACCATTCCCGGGGTTTGTAATGTTTTAGACAGTCCAGAAAATCATCAACATATTTCCCTGGAGGTCACAGTGCTCCTTCGATTTGATTACAGATGCCCCAGGGCTCCCTCCCTGCTGGGAATCTTCATCACATAGATAGAGACAAAGTCCCTTTACACAACTGCATCTGTTGATATCTTACGCACCACCCAGGAACACAACCAATCCAGAAAATATTATCCCATAGGATCCTTCCCAGTGTGCCAGTATGGGGTAAGCCTCCTAGGACAGTGACCCCAAGATGCTGGGAAGGTCTTTGGAAATCAACAAAACAGCAAAATTATTGTTATAAGAATTGTCATCTCCAAGAGCCCAGAATCTTTTCATATGAAATATTAAGGCATCTGAAGCACTGACGTCTCTTTTGAACTATCCATGTGACTGTTCTCATAACTCCTCTCAATACTCTAAGAAGGCTTGACCACAGATATCGAAACTTCAATAAAGTATCTTCCTTCCAGACTTCCTCTTTTCCCAACTGTTTAACTTCCTTCCTATCTACTTTTACCCTCCGTTCTTCCAGTCCTTTCTCCCATGTTTATCAGAAACCCAGTATATGCT